ATGGTTTATTTTTGTCTTTTTTTTTTTTTTTTTTTTTTTGAAAGGTAGCCAGAATCCAAACCAAGCACAAATTTAGGGCAAAACAATAACATCAGCAGCCACTGGTTTTGAATGTAATGTGGCAGGCACTGTGTATTAGCTTATTTCTTACATAAACCCTGTTAGAAAACACTATCCCATTTGCAGCTTAGGAAACTGAGGCTCAGAAAGTATAACTCATCCCAAGTAACATACCTAATCCCCAATTCTTTCCAACTCACCATGAGAACACAAAAGGAGTGAAATGAGAAGACAGGGTGATGACGTAAAGATGAAGGACAAATGAGGGAACAGAAATGAGGGCCGTGAAAGAAAATGAGAAGAGAGTAGGATAGAAAATGTAGGAAAAGGGACTGGGCATTGACAAAGAGAGGAAATTCTTTTAGAATGGTCCTATCTTCAGGAACCAAATCATTCTGTATCATCTTGGCTGACGCTCCTTTGAGTCCTGTGGGACATCTTACCAGACAGACCCACTTCCCACCTTATGTAGTACGTCCAGGGGGCTGTTTTAAAGCAGAGATTATACAAGAAATCTGCCACATAGCCTGACAGATTCCAGAAGCTGGGAGGAAATCAAACTGTCATGATTTAAATTTCAGTGTCTTCAGGGTATGTGCTCTAACTTTACATTGGCTTTGTAGAAAGACTGTAATTTGAATTCACTGGAAAGCAGATGGGACCTGTCACATGGGTAAAACATAAGAAATGTGTCCAAATGTAAGAAGTAACAGGTTTCTTTTGTCAGTCAGTTTCATAGTACAAGTATCCCTGGGTCCACATAAGCCGATATTCATCAAAATGATAGAAGTCCTATCTAATATTTATTGAGCAATAACAATGTGCTAAGTGCTTTGCATCTATTTCAACATTGGGAGGAGCCGAGAAAGTTGATACTATTATAACTAACCACTGGTTTTAAAGATGAGAAAACTGAGGCCCAGAAAGTTAAACAAGCTGTCTCTGGCTAATAAGTAGCTGAGCAGGATTTGAATCCCAGGTCCTAGGGGATAACACTACACTATGCAGACATTCCCAGGGCATTCTGTGTAACCCCAAGAGCTCCACAGTTTTTGACAATAGTACTCCAGGGATAAAAAAGAAAGAAGGAAGAAAAAAAGGTGGGGAGGGAAGGAAGAAGAAAAGGAAACAATAATGACCTCAATACTAGTACCAGCTCTTGAGAAAGACATGCGGGTTGGATGGTCAGAAGCCACAGAGGTGGTCTGAACCCACTGTGGTCAGGGAAGGAATCTTTAGCAAAGTTTGGGAGTAGCAAAGAGGGGGCAAAAAGAAATGGGAGTACAGAGTAAAAGAATGAAACAAAGTACATGCAGAGTGAAGAGAGGAGGAAGAAAGGCCTGGCCAATCTTTAGAGTATGAAAATAATATTGGTAGGCTTTAAATTAATTAAGGCTGTTTCTCTAATTTACCCTTTTATTTCTCATTTCATGGGGGTAAAGTGAACTATTCAACTCAACCTTTAAAGCTAATGCTGTTTGTCTGACAGTTTCTCTCCACCGTGAGTAATGCTAAATTCCACTCTGCAAGGTTAGTGTCTCAGTGAAAGGTGGGTGTGTTGTTTAGACTTTTTTTTTCCCCCTTGAAAGTTAATTAAGTCAACATTAACCATAGCTATGTAACCATAGAACGGGCAGTTTCTTTGAAGGCTCATGGTTTGGATCTTTTCCTGCAAAAATTCCCACTAATATAGTTACATTTATTATTCTAACTGCCTGGATAACTGACTCGCTCCAGGTCCATGTATCAGGGCAATACCAGGCCTTGTTTGCAGCTGAGTTGGTGTGCTTCACAGAACCACTGTGCCAAGAGTTTGCGGTTCTCCATGCACAGCCTCCAGGTTCAGCCTTTCTTGTTTCTTCTCCAGAAATTTCCCTGGAGTTAGCATTGCCAATTTGATGCCATATGGTTCTACAGTCCTCAGAACTATTTACTTGACATTTAACAAATTTTTTAACTTGTCCATACCCTTAACTCTGAAAGCAATATGGTATCATCAATGTTTGTGTTGTGGACCTATCCTGAAGATTTTGTTTATATAGATGTGACTGAATATTTAAGGAGAAAAAAAAGTACAGGCCTTGTGCAAAATCCATAATCCAAAATCCATTCATACTGGTGCAGCTGTTTTAACTTTTTTTTTCTTTTTTTTTTTTAATTTTTTAATTTTTTTTTATTTTATTTTTTATAAACATATAATATATTTTTATCCCCAGGGGTACAGGTCTGTGAATCACCAGGTTTACACACTTCACAGCACTCACCATAGCACATACCCTCCCCAATGTCCATAACCCCACCCCCCCTTTCCCAACCCCCCTCCCCCCATCAACCCTCAGTTTGTGAGATTAAGAGTCACTTATGGTTTGTCTCCCTCCCAATCCCATCTTGTTTCATTTACTCTTCTCCTACCCCCTTAACCCCCCATGTTGCATCTCCTCTCCCTCATATCAGGGAGATCATATGATAGTTGTCTTTCTCCGATTGACTTATTTCGCTAAGCAAGCTGTTTTAACTTTTAAGAAACCACAAGCATTTTATCCTCTAAAACTTTAATTTGAAAGACACAGGACTTTTAAAGAAATACGGTGTTTCTGAAACTGGTATATATCAGCCTCCCTACTTCAGTTCTCTTTAAACTCCTAAGAATTGAATAAAGTTCCTCTTAAAACTCTTAAGAATCGAACAAAGTTACATGTGCATTTTTCAGACCAAAATACATGTTATTGCTGTATTCCTAGTAATTTTTGAAATATTAAGTTACAATAGAAGCAATAGCATCACAAGAGAGACCAAAGATACAGTGGCTGCATTCTAAAGATCTCTCTCCAAGCTCAGAGAATTTTCCGCAGTCCCAGAGGCAGATGCTAGAAGGAAACAGTTGTGTGTTTTCTTGTGTTCACCATAGCCCTGCAAGCCATGGTAAAGGTTATTTTGTTTCTTTTTTGATGCTACAGTAATGATTCCCCTTCCTGTTATATAGAAAAACCTATTCCGCTAAAAGAACACTAGATATATTTATTACAACATGAAGACCATTTTGTCCATGGAAATAATTTTTTTTATTGTTCTGAGTCACTCTGGTTTGTGGAATTTTTACATGAGTTCCAGGACAAGGATGAGATGATATATTTATTTTAATTTGTATCCTCTTTTCTTCTTGACTGTGTGAATGTCACCCTTGTTGTCAGAATAGTTCTGTATTTTTATTACTTTAGAAGTTACTCTACTATGCAACCACTCTGGAAAACAGCATGGAGGTTCCTCAAAATGTTGAAAATAGAACTCCCCTATGACCCAGCAATTGCACTCCTGGGTATTTACCCTAAAGATACAAACGTAGTGATCCGAAGGGGCACGTGCACCCGAATGTTTATAGCAGCAATGTCTACAATAGCCAAACTATGGAAAGAACCTAGATGTCCATCAACAGACGAATGGATAAAGAAGATGTGGTATATATACACAATGGAATACTATGCAGCCATCAAAAGAAATGAAATCTTGCCATTTGCGACGACGTGGATGGAACTAGAGGGTATCATGCTTAGCGAAATAAGTCAATCGGAGAAAGACAACTATCATATGATCTCCGTGATATGAGGGAGAGGAGATGCAACATGGGGGGTTAAGGGTGTAGGAGAAGAATAAATGAAACAAGATGGGATTGGGAGGGAGACAAACCATAAGTGACTCTTAATCTCACAAAACAAACTGAGGGTTAATGGGGGGAGGGGGTTGGGGGGGTGGGATTATCAACATTGGGGAGGGTATGTGCTATGGTGAGTGCTGTGAAGTGTGTAAACCTGGCGATTCACAGACCTGTACCCCTGGGGATAAAAAGATATTATATGTTTAAAAAAAATAAAATTAAAAAAAAAAAGAAGAAAAAAAAAAAAAGAAGTTACTCTACTGTAGTTTTGTCTCCTAACTCTTCATTGACAATTCAGTATGTGTCCTGGGCATGCTGTATTTTGGCAGAACTACCTCCTTTTCTCAGTATCATGTGATCTCTTGTTTTCCCTTCCACCCCTATTCATGTTTTCTCGATGCATGTCTTCACCATGTCAAAGGTTATTCAGACCTACAGAAATATTTAAATTGTTGAGCTGCTGGAAGGACTTGAATTAAACTGTGAATTCCAAAGGGCATTTGTTATGCCTTAAATTTTTTTCTTACGTTAAAAATAAACCTCACTGGAAATATTCCCTAATTCAGCCCAGAATATCTCTGTGCTTTAGACTATACCCTGCAATCCTACAAAGTCCCTGAAATTCATTTTTCAAGTATTCTTTGGTTTGATTGCAATTATTGTATCTGTTAAGCACCCCTAGATTAAATTTAATTAGCAGTTCAGACTTACAGAGAATCCTTAAATGTTCTGACATTTTAAAAAATATTTGAACAGAACAATGACTGTCCTGTGAGCTGAGATTTCAAGTTGCCAATTATTATCATTGATATTTCTTCCATATATTCCTCAGTGTACGTAAGACACTGAAAGACTGACTGACTGACTTAAGGTTTAAAATTAAATCTTGTAATTTCTGGCAAGAATAGGAGGATGTGTTCTGCCTTCCACCATCCTTGACTCATAAGCTGTAACTAGCCAGCCTTCCAACAGTGTCCTAACCAGTCAGCCTCCAACAGTGCCCTACTTAGTCAGCCTCCAACAGAAAAAGGGAAGATAATACTGACTTTAGCATGGACTGGACAAAGACAAAATGGACAATTTCTAATACATAATTTATTGTCTTGCAAATGGTCATTGCAAGTCCAAACTACACTACGTATATTCATATATTCACAGGGTGTGTGTGTGTGTGTGTGTGTGCACTTATGTATGTAAGAACATGATTCAGTGTTCAGAAGTTTTAGATGATTAGTTTTGTTGTTAGAAAATGGTAGGATATCAATCTGAATCATTTTATTTTCAACAGGTTGACATGATGAAAGAAGCATTAGAAAAACTTCAGCTTAATCTAGTAGAGATGAAAGACGAAAATGCAACCTTAGATGGTGGAGACGTCTTATTCACAGGTATCTTCATCCTCACTTTCTCTTATCCAAAACTGTTTCTAATACCTGGCTTGTATTATTTAACTGTAGGGGTTTTTGTTTTGTTTTAATTACCAAAGGAAAAATGCTAACTGCAGGGAATTTGGAAAATACTGAAGGAATTTGGAAAATACTGGAAAGCACAAAAGAGAATGAAGTGAAAATGACCTTTCATTGAAAGATAATCATTTCAACATTTGGGTGCATGTCCTTTTAGTACTTTTATATGCATGCCATCTATCGTATTTTTTACAAAATTGTTACCAGTGTGTACCTATCATTTTGTAGGTTGCATCTACTATATTTTATACTTTGAGCTTGTGGGTTGCATAGTTTTGCATTGTGTGCTATTATATCTGGTTTGTATTTAAAAGTTTCTTAATTCAAGATGTGTCATTTACAAATAATTTTCCTGCCCAGACAGCAAGATGAATTTAAATAATTTTCAGTGCAAATTGATTTGCCTTCTATGCCAGATGAATAATAGCAGAACTCAACCAATACAAACAGCTAATATTATTTTGTATCTAACTAGAATCAGTTTTTATAGTGGCCATATTATTGCTGTTAAAGAAGCAGTAATTAGGGGCGCCTGGGTGGCTCAGTGGGTTAAAGCCTCTGCCTTCAGCTCAGGTCATGATCCCAGGGTTCTGGGATCGAGCCCCACATTGGGCTCTCTGCTCAGTGGGGAACCTGCTTCCTCCTCTCTCTCTGCCTGCCTCTTTGCCTACTTGTGATCTCTCTCTATCAAATAAATAAATAAAATATTTTAAAAAAGAAAGGAAGAAAGGAAGAAAGAAAGAAACAGTAATAGTAGCATTTAACCTTTCCAGCTATTTATGGTCCTATTACTGTTTTGCAAAAGTCACAACCTAAAATTTGGATCCCCAGATTCATCCTAGTTAACTGATAAACAAGACAATCAATAATAATTTTTAATTTATAGTGAGAGTTTATTTTACCCTGAATGTCAGAGAATCAATACCTGTTTCACAGATGTAACCCTGCCAGCAAGGGCTGGTTCCCAGGGATTTGGGAATGTAGCCCAGGTGGCCCCACTGAAAATATGAAGCTTCTTAGAAGTCTAATATTTTGGCTGATGTGAATTTTATATTGAATCCCTTATATAGAGAGAAAATATAGCCATCTTCATTTTAATCTAAACGTAATATTTTGTATTACTTACATTTTGATATAATTAATGTTCTAGGAGGAGGAGAGGTATTTATTCTGTGATATTTGCGTAGTCCCTTGCCCAGTGTCACACCTATGGGTGGCACCACTGTGTTGCTGAGCTCCGGGTGACACCATTCTTATCACAGGTTTATGAATAGTACCACCCTGGAGTTGCGCAGTGCGCAACTTGGGCTACTGTTGTCACAGGCAATGGCCCTTCCTCTGGGGCATGGAGTGCACACCCATTGAGCCATAAGAACACAGAACAAGGGATCAGGGAGGCCTATGCTGCATTCTCAACTCTGGCCATGTCCAAGCAGACTCAGGCATTCTTTCGAATCTGCCTAGTAAGTTTCCCTTGGAATATTCTTTGTGTCTCCCATTGATGGCACTTTTCATTCTTTTTGGCAGCACAGAACAACAGACTGTTTCTCTTAGAAAATAGGCTTTTGTGAAAAGCTAGATGTAAATCATGCTTCCTTACAATAAAACTTTTTTTTTTTTTACCAGAACATAGCCATATAATAAATAACTTCTTGTAAGCAGGTATTGATAATATTTGAAGTATGTTTTAAAACAAGCTGTGTTCACAGCCATTTAGCTATCTTAACAGCCGAGCTGAACAGATTCCCTAAAATCTTCTCATGTTTTGGCTCAGCCTATTTTACAGGAACCTCTTCCTTTGGTCAGAGATCTTTCCATAACATTTCAATCCTGATGTTTTTGCCTCAACTTCTCATTAGGTACCTAATGAGTGAGGCTTGTCTTTGACACTATCTGTAAGCTTATTTTGGTAATATTCAATCCTTAAGTTAATGTCTTGAAAGTTCTTTTATTCAAAACTGAGATCATGTTGAGATATCTGATTGGCACTTCATTCATGCCTAATGCCTGACTGGTCCTGCCTTCTGTTTCCTACTTCTCAATTTTTTCTTTTTCCTTTCTTAATTGTGGTAAAATACATAAAACATGAAATTTGTCACCTTAACCATTTTTAAGTATACAGTTCAAGTGGCACTAACCACATTTACCATATTGGGCAACACTCACCGTTCAATTTTTGATTCAGAAGAGTTGGGTAAGGAACAAAATCTGTAGCACTTTCCATGTGTTCTGGATCCTCTTCCTTTTGTAACTCAGAGCTTCATTAACAGTCGATCGAGAAGTGGGCAGAAGGAAAGCAGCTATCCAACTCCAGCTCCACCAGGAATCTTATGAGTCAGGCCAGCAGCTACTGTCAGAAATTATTGCAATCCTATTCCTCTGAAATGGACATCAGCTTATCTCTATTTTCATTTTTTTAATTTTTGTGAAATATGGAGCAAATAAAAAAAAGAGTTGTAAATGTCTATGCACACTTTAAAGACCAGTGATAAGATGAGCACCTGCTGTCTGCCACCTGGCTTTAAGAAATAGAATATTGCCACGACCATAGGAGCCCCACTCCCAACCTCTCTCTCCTCTCAGCCTGTCCTGCATTTTGTATTAATCAGTACCTTCGACTTTTGCCTCAATCTAAATTATATGTTGTTTAATTTTGCTTGTCTTATAACTTTATATGATTAAGATCATACTATAGGAACTAGTCTGATTTTTCTGCTTTTGATCTAACTAGATGCTTCTAGCTATAGCTCTTTGTCTTCACTGCTATGTGGTATTCCATGGTTAAGAATTACCACAATACATTTATTCATTCTACTGCTGATGGATATTTGAGTGTTTTCCAGTTTTTTTCAATTATCTTCAGTGATGCTATGGATGCTCTTGTGTGTGTGTCCTGGGAATGTGTATAAGAATTTCTTAAAGTAAACAGCTAGAAATGGAGTTTCAGGTGATAAACTCTTTTTGCTCCAGTGAAATGTATATGATTTTCTCCTTGAATCTATTGATGTGGTTAATTGCACTAATTGATCTTGCTGATATTGGGTCAGTCTTTCATCCCTGGGATGAAGTCAAACTCCGCTTTGATATACTCTCTTTCTACTACAGTGCTGGATTTAGTTTGTTAAGTCTTTTCTTGAGAGTTTTGTTTCTATGGCCTGTAATTTTTCTTGCTTGCTTTCCTTCTCTGGCTTTGATAAAAGAATTATCTTAACCTCATAACATGTATTAGGGAATATTTCCTATGTTTCTGTTCTCTAGAATCAGTACTATTTGAATTGTGCGTTCCTTGAACTTTGGGAGAACTTACCTATAAATAGACCCTGTTGGCCAGGTACTTTCTTTGTGGGGAGATTTTAAACGGACTCCATTCCTTTAATGGTTCCATGTCTATTGAGGGTTTTCTGAGTCAGTTTTTGTGAGTTCCATTTTCTCATATTTTATCTAAGTTTTCAAAATGTTGGGTATAAACTTCTTCATATCTTCTTGATATCTGTTTAAACTTCACAGCGTTATAGCTATGTCCTCTTTTCATTCTTAATGTTTATTTATGCCTTCTCTTTTTTTCTTTTGTGTCAGAGATCTTTCATTTGTATTTATCTTTTCAAAGAACCAATTTTGGGCTTTGTTGAATTCTCTCTGTCTTATATATTTCCTTTCCTCTTCCTGTTTCTGTCCTTAATTCTTTCCCTCAAATTTCTTTGTTTTTATTCTGCTCCTTTTTTCTTAAATTTGAATTTGGAAGTTTGTCTATTTAATGTTGAACCTTTTCTCATCTTAAGGCAAGCAGTTAAAGCTGTATAACTTTCCCTTCAAGTACTGCTTTAACTGAATCCTTTGTGTTTTGATATATATTTGTTATCATTAGTTTTAAATATCTTCCAGTTTCCATTATGATTTATTCTCTGACTCATTTATGGGTAATGGTGTTATTTAAAAAACATATAAGTCATTATTATAAGTTGCTGGGGATGCCACCTTACTACTCTGATAGTTAATAAGTGAAGGAAAGATTCAGGCATTTAGCTATCTTTCCTTTACTAATTCTATTTCAAGTAGACCAAATACTTGATTGAGAAAGTGTTTTTTGTTTTTGTTTTTAAGAATTCTAGCCAGTAAATGTAGATCCCTAATAAAATAATGGATCTGAGTAATGATCATCCAAGCCTGTTAAAACCTTTATATGAAAGCTTGATGGGGAGCTTTACAATGGATGGATCAGACTGATACCCCTTGAACACACAGATTATTCTGGTATCACCAACAATGTGGCTGTCAGTCATGTGCTTCATGATGTGATACAATAGTTCAGCCCCACCTCTGAAGTAGTCCTAGCAAAGAAAAATTTTTTAACAAGAATCTAGTTAAACATCTACATGAAACTATCAGCTTACTGAACATACAAAGGAACAATTTCATGTTAGATGATACACAGGGAAACAACCAATCAGATCCAGAAAGTAGGATCATCAATAGGACAAATGACATGGGAAAGGGGGAATTGATAACAGAAAAAGTTGACATAACAGACAAAACAACAACAAAAATGTTTTTTAATATTTCAGTTCCAGAAGTTCTGTTATTTCCATCAGAAAGACTATTTAGGAATTTTGGGGTGCCTGGGTGTCTCAGTCGGTTAAGCATCTGCCTTCGGCTTGGGTCATGATCCCAAGGTCCTGGGATTGAGCCCCACGTGGGCTCCCTGCTCAGCAGAGAGCCTGCTTCTCCCTTTCCCTCTTCTCCTCTTGTGCTCTCTCTCTCTCTCTGTCAAATAAATACAATCTTAAAATAAAAAAAGAAAGGCCATTTAGGGGGATATAGTCCACCATACTACCAGAAACAGAAGTCCAATTGACTTTTTAAAGTGATGGGCAGTTTGCTTTTCTTTGTGCTTTGCTACCTTAGTCTTTTAAAATAGAAATAGTGCACATGCCCCATTATGAATTTGTTTAAATTTGCTTAATCCACTAAATTTTTTCCTAAAAATTATATATAAATCTAATTTATAAATCTATTTTTATCTAGAATAATTAAGGAAATTTAAAAATTTTCAGCTGATTTTTTTAAGAGATTTTATTTATTTATTTGACAGAGATCTCAAGTAGGCAGAGAGGCAGGCAGAGAGAGAGAGAGAGAGGAGGAAGCAGGCTGCCTGCTAAGCAGAGAGCCCAATGTGGGGCTCGATCCTAGGACCCTAGGATCATGAACTGAGCTGAAGGCAGAGGCTTTATCCCACTGAGCCACCCAGGGACCCCCAGCTGATTTTTAAATAAAGTAATACTTTTCTCAGATAAAATATCTTTCCCTTAGATTTGTAGGTAGTTGAGTTTTCTCAAGGGACAATACAGACACACCATTAACAAACAAAACAAAAACAAAAAGCCCGTCAATGTGCCACCAAAGGGTCCTCTGTCTGCCAAAAGCATAAGCCATTGGAAGTTATCATAACATCATTTGACCTGGGTCATTTACTTCTTTTTTAAGGACATCATGAGGATTAACGTTATAACATTTGTAAAGTCTATCAAGCAATTCTTTCTACATGGTTTCGCTTTTTATACTTTACCCTAATGTTCTGGATCAAAATATACTGATTTCTCTTTGAATATGTTTTCACATTTCATGTAGAATTCTTTTTCAAAAAATGAAAAAGTTAAGAATCCTCACAGTTATATATTGCCTAATATTATCTACTATAATTGTTTGCTTGCCTCTCACCAGGGGACCATTTTTTCTTGATGTTTTGCCTTCTGAGAAGAAAATTTATGAAATTTCAGAAAAGCCAAATGACTAGAAAGTTCCATCCTCCTTTGCAAATAGGTATCTCTGACATTTTGACTTGAAACAACAAATAAGAGTTTTAAGGGCATCTTTTTAGAGGTCAGGCCTGAAGACCAGTCAGCCCTAAACTCCCTTTATGCGTATAGTTTCTTCAACCTTTACATCATCGTTATAAGAAAAGGAATCTGACTTCATCATGAATGTCTGATATTATTCTTTTAGGGAAAAAAGGGGAAGCATTACTAACTTGTCATTGCAAGTTACTTAATTTTGTCATTGCAATTACTTAATTTTTTATTACACATGAAGGTGTTTAATTTTGTTATTTCCTAAGTGGAACATTTATTCTTTTATTGTGCTAAAATTATAAAACATAAAACCTATCATTTAATTATTTTTAAGTGTATAGTTCAGTGTGTAACCATCACCACCATCCATGTCCAGCACATTTTCACCTTCACACACTGAAACTTCATACCTACCACACTGACTTCCCAGTTCCTCCTCCCCTGAGACCATGGCAGCCACTATTCTACTTTCCACCTCTGTGAATTTGAAAAAGTTTCTTTCTAAGGATGGTAGTTTGAAATCAGATCTGTATAAAGAGAGCAGAGGTCAGAGTATAAGCAGAGCTGCTTTCTGTGGTAGGAAAGAACTGTGTGATGCTTTAAGTTCATTATTTACAGATAAAGAAACAGTATGCCATCACTGGTGCCATGTACTCATTGTGTTCCATGACATTTGTTATAGGCAGAGAATTTTTTGTGGGCCTTTCCAAAAGGACAAATCAACGAGGTGCTGAAATCTTGGCTGATACTTTTAAGGTAGGTAAAGTTAGACCATTGATGCCTGGCATACAATAATTAATAAGCATTCATAGACACATTGAATCAGCATGTCGTGAATAATGGTATCTATATGTCACCAGCTCTGCAAAATAATTCCTAATATTAGTACATTTGTTAGAAGTTTTAAGAGCTGTCAAATTCAAATTTCTCAATAAATAGGTTGCATTGAGCTACCATAGCCATAAAAGACAAAATTTTGGACATCTTCTGTTTTTTTCCCCCACTGTAAAATCATGCAGCTACCTGACAGATTTCCTACACAATAAATGACTTCCCAGAAAGTCTCGAGACCCCGCTGACTCAAACATGAAACATGGATTTTTCACAATGGAATCAAGGATCACTTGTACTTAGTACCCACTATGTGCTGGAAACTGGGCTAGATATTACACGTCTTCTCAAGGTCCCTTTACTCCATTTATTATTAATAGATTGGCTTGGCTCACCAGACTGTGTAGGAAGCTCTTTTCCCCTTGAGGACATGAGGCTTTAGTTTGCACAGGATATTCCGACATAACTTTCCAGAGTAACCCACTCCATGGATCAACCAGCAAATCTAGCTGTTGACATAATCACACATCTGGAAGGAGGCTCTGCACTTTCTTCTTAAAAGTAGTCTCTATTGGGGTGCCTGGGTGGAAGTCAGTTAAGTGTCCAACTCTTGATTTTGGCTCAGGTCATGACTGATCTCAGGGTCCTGAGATGGAGCTCAGCACCTGGCTCCATGCTGGGTATGGAGCCCACTTAAGATTCTCTCCCCTTCCACCTCTGCTCCTCCCTACCTCCATGCATGTGCTCACTCTCTTTCTGGGGTGGGGGAAGTATTCTAAGTAGTCTTTATTTAACTGGCAACACCAAAACCTACAGATCCCAGTTTTTCTTCCGATATTCAGGGCCCCTGGTAGCCTCCCTAGAAATAGCCATGTTTTGGGCAGGGTTAAGTCAGTTTTAGAACTATTCTGCAATGCCAAACTGCTTGTTTCTATTACACACATAGGACTATGCCGTCTCCACAGTCCCAGTGGTTGATGCTTTGCATTTGAAGAGTTTCTGCAGCATGGCTGGGCCTAACCTGATCGCAATTGGATCCAGTGAATCTGCGCAGAAGGCCCTAAAGGTAGATACAAAACTATGCTCCTTCAAAATGCAGCCGGCAATGCCTGCCGCGTGGTTTTCCTCATTCTGACTACTGGGTGGGCGGCAAGCAGGAGTGGCGGGCTGAGAACAGGCTGGTACTCAAGCTTTCTCATGTCAACACTGTCGTGACCTCTCATTCATTGGGAATTAGGAACACCAGTTGTAAGAACGGATGTAAGAACTCTTCACTGCTGAACTGTTCATACACCAGGGATCCTCGAAAGGCCGTGACTTAGAATAAGAAAAACCAAGAACATCACAGTTACTTTCTCTGGGGAAAAGGAAGGCATGCCACCAGTAGCACTTTCCTTAACTAAGATAGTACACAAGGGGTTCTTATATTATTCTTATCCTTTTGTGTGTCTGAAATATTTCATAATAATCTTTTAGGAAAACATGATTCAGAAATACATAAAAAATTTAACTGCTTGCATCTAGAATACTAAAATTTTAGGACAAGAATTTGTCTCGTTTCACAGGTGAGAATAGGAAAGCCCAGAAAAAATTACGATTTGCCCAAATCACAGAGCTAGGTCAAGAGTGGAAGTCTTCAAAACCTTCCGCTGCGACGTGCTTTTCCTTCTCTGTAATAGCCCCGCAAGATGATCTGGACCCTCCATCATGCCAAAGACCATGTCTGTTTTGCTCACCATTGTTCCCTTTCATGCTTGGCCCATGGTGGACTCTTAATAAATATCAGATGAATGGATGAATAAGTAAATGGGAGAGGTGGTATTATTTCCATTTTGCAGATGAGAACTAGATCAAATTACTCACCCCAAGCCACAAGGCTAACACTACATGGTGGGCTGGGATTACCATCTCTTCCTCACGACTTACGAAAGGACCAAAGACAGAAGCTTCTTTCAGGCAAAGAGAGGAACTCTGTGTGTCCCAAGGTGCACAGTTAATTTTTTTTTTCTTTTTAGGTCTTTACTTGTCTATCTCAGTACTAGCCTTGGTGCATTTTATCTCAGAAAAAATCCTGGCCTTCCAATTGCTGAGTTTCCCCCTCCCGCCCGGACTTCCTGTAGCTTCCTCAGCCTGCGCTCCTGGCCTTCCCATCTTCGTTTACTCATACTGTATCTTTGATTGCATTCCTAGGACTTTTAACAATCATTGCTAAACAGCCTGCTTTAGAATTTGAATTAGGTATTTTTTTCTGTGTTTCCTTTAGAGAATGTCTCTTGTTTGTTCATCTGGAAGGCTGTGTCAACTTTCCACATATAGGAAAGGTGGTGTCTTGAAAGAAAATATTTGATAGATGGTAAAAAATATTTGATAGATGGTATCACTCAAAGGATCTAGAAAGATTATTTTTCTCCTCAGGGACTAACTGTGGTGTCTATCTGTGGCAGCTGGGTTGGTCAGCGCATGTCTGAGATTGAGTATAAGGGAAGGAGAGGGCTGAAGCTGGCCTATCCTGTGCTCTTGTTAATTAGCAGACGGAACATCCTCTGGGTAGACAGATTACAAAAAGTAGCTCCATCTGCAATTCTGGGTAGACTAGATCCTTAACTCAAAGAGCTTGATTCCTAATTCAGATAGGACCCTAACTTAAATAGTCTGGAGAAACTAACACATAATGACCTAAGAGATAGTACAATATGGTTAACTAGCAAAACACTGTGTGAAGTAGTCCTAACTGCTATTCACAGGAGAGGATGGAGCTCCCTGGGGGCTGGATGTTCAGAGAGAACCTCATGGACAAAAATGGGGCTAGAAGGGTTTGCCAAGGCAGGATTCAGTGAGACAGTGTTCTAGGTGGGGACACAGTATAGACAAAGACTGAGCCGGGTACATATGTGAGATCTGAGCAAACTAGCCCAACTGATAAAGAGTTTTCCTATGGGCTCCTGGAGATATGGTTGGATGGAGCAGGTGAAGTCTGAAGAGGTAGCGACTTAAAAGTGAGGAAGAAGATGAGTTTATCTCCATGAAGCAGGAGTCTGGGCTTCTGAACAGAAGGGTCTATATTGCTTTAGAGATGTTGGACCACCAGTCCTTTCGAAAAAAAAAAAAAAAAAGTTGGGGGGGGGAGAGGGAAGGAGAAGATGCTACAATCAGAAAAGAGGACCACTGATAACTTAGAAAAAAGAAAGCCAAGCCCGAGGCCCATTGTATGCCTTGGATTCACTACCATTTCTCCACTCATCTTTCCCATCTCATCATCAAGTCAAGTCCTCTAAGATTACTTCTTTTAAGGGCATCTGGTGTGGACTTTATAGTCCTCGTTCTTGTAGAGTTTATTTGAGTTAGTGTTAATAATGATGTTCACTCTATACTTGAAACCTTCTGTGTCAGAAGCTATAAATAATCCTCACTTAGTGGAATGGTATTCACTTTTCGGAGATCATATTTTCCATCAGCAAATGTGCTTCCTAAACTCTGGGCCTGTAGAGTTGGCAAATATCCACCTGCCGTGTTTCTAGCATCAGAAAGGCTCTCCTTGTAGTGAAAGCCAAGGAATAAATTGAATGGAAGAATAGTGAGATCTCCATGCAGGCATGTTCTCAGGTCGGAACTAGGTGGTTTGCTGAAATTCCCATTTAGTGAGCTGAATTGTTTATGTATTTGAGAACAGTTTTGGCTCTTGTATTAGAAAAGTCAATAAAATTGATAGTGCGGTAAGTCCTACTACTAATTTGGAGATAATAATACTAATATAAGTAAGCAGAAAGACAAATGGATAGAGACAGACCATTTGCACATAGTGAAATCTATCAGTTTTATTTTTTTCCATTTTATAGGTAAAAATACTGAGACCTGATGAAATAAAACATTTTGCGTACAGTCCTCTGGAATCAGATTTCCCGGGCCTTAATTTTCCTCTCCCCAATTGTCCACCCCACTCCATACTCATTCTTCGTTTTCCAATTATTTTGCCATAAATTTGTTTCAGCTGCGCTTCTTCTCTCTCCTCCCCTCTCTCCAACTACCCACTACCTCTTCACATGTCTGCTGTGGTGTCCAGGATCTGACTTATGATGAAAGGTGTGAGTTTAGTCCCAGATGTCTGTTTTTCCCTTACTGATCTTGATGTCTCTATAGAGAAGCTTGTGGCCACTTGGGCATCTCTTTGAAGGGCATAGCACTTAAACGGAGGTAAACTGTGCCTTCCTGTGCTGTATACTGAGAGCTTGAGTACTTCCCACATCTGTCACTGGTTGCTGAGTGCTTGCTTGCTTCTTTCAGAGCTAGAAAACTACTTATATATTCATGCAAAGCAGAGAGCCCAAGGGTTTCTAGATAGTCTTATTGCATTTGAAACACTTCGTAACGTGTTGCAGTCGATTTTTGGTTAATGAAGTAGAATCTTATAGACATAGTCTCATACCTGTCTAAGTTGTAGTAGATTTAATAGTGTGTGTATTGTATATTTAAATGAAATCATTCAACCTAGGAAGACTTTAGTGACTCTCTGCTGAAAAATCCAGAACACGTTTAACACAGGGCACATTTAATACACATTTAATAAAGAGTATATTTAATGAAGGGAAGGAAAAAAGGAGGACATGTTATTACTGCATTTTACTGCTGATACAGCCAAGCTACTGGAGGTTGATTTGAGCAAATACCCAGACATTTAACATCAAGTCTTATCCTAGAAATACTATTATCTCAGCAAAATCCATCTTCAGAGCAACCTGTCTATTCTATAGTTCCCCCCCCCCAATACTTTCTATTATTCTGCATGTGCCTCTGGGCATACCTTCATCCTGCCCTTCTAGCTATACAAGAAAATAGTGTAAGATTAATTAATTCTTGCACAGTAATAGACCTATTAGTACTCTTGCAGAAGGGATGTTTGCCTTCTCAGAGATGATGAGAACTCCAGTTGCTGCACATCTGCAACTGCTGGTCACAAACATAATTTGAGCAAAAGAAGTCAATCACCAAGAAATACACATTCTTGGGGTGCCTGGGTGGCTCAGTCAGTTAAGCATCTGCCTTCAGTTCAGGTCATGATCTCAGAGTTTTGGGATCAAGCCCCATCTCAGTCCCACATTGCATAGTGTTCCCTGCTCAGCAGGGAGTCTGCTTCTCCCTTTCCCTCTGTCCTGCCCCCTCTGCTCATGCTGTCTCTGGCTTTCTCTCTCTCAAATAAATAAATAAAATATTTTAAAACAAAATTTAAAAGTAAAAAAATACACAAATTCTATTATGTCCTTCATTTAAACAAGAGACAAAACTATGCTATCAACAGTCAGAATAGTGGTAATTTAAGGAGTGAGGGAGTCGAGTAGCTAAGGGGGCTACTTTGTATGTTTAATTTTTAAAGTGTACAAAAATACGTATGTAATGTATTATTGGAAGTGGGCTGAGATCAACTTACATAAATAATTTTCCAATAGTGGGATCTAACTCTTAAGCCTCTGGATTACCTTCTACATGATTCCTGTCTTTACTGCAGACTAACCTCTTTTTATTGCATTAATTAAGAAAAAAAAAAGACAAAGGTCGTACTCCTTGAGCAACAGCTCCCCATTTTCCCTCCCCCTAGCTCTTATACCTTACATATATATAGGTTTTAATTGTCAGTTTACCTCAGTACAACTGGGGAGGCAGAGGCATGGCAAAGAGTAGATTTGCACCACATCCCATCCAATTTTTCCTAAATCCATTCCAAAATCGACTTCCTTTCCAGGAACCTGGATTAATTACATGCTCTCGGTCATAAGAGGATAGACTGTAATTCCTGCCCTCTGGAGGGACTCACTGTATTGATTTTTAACTCAATCTCCTTGGTAGCATTCAGTCCTCTGGTCAGTTAGGGGGAAAAAAAAGAAGGGAAGAAAGGTGAACAAAGGGAGGAAGGCAGAGAAGATGGGAAGAGGTGGGGGAGTGACATTTAGCTAAAACTCTCCCCAGCTGGGGGGAACTTTCTCCCCAAGCTGGGGGTGCTCTGCCATCTGCTGGCCAGGCAGCAAGGAGCTCACCCTTGCCTTCCTAACCCCTTATGGAAACCAATTCTTTTCC